GAGCTCCGACCAATAGTCGAAGCTGAACAACGACGCGCCGCCGAAATAACGGCAAATCTGGCCCTCTGCTCCGCCTCCATCTCTGGCGTCGAAGCCACCCTCCTCCCTTTGACCAACGGGTCAAATAGACAATTCGTAGACTCCATGAGAGTCTACCTACGCGCCGCCATTGCGCAATACATGGCCACGGGCCCAGCCACTACGCCACCCGTCCTCCCTCCTCGTCCGACAAACCCTCTCCCAAGGGCTCCCGACGCCAGGAGACAAACAATACCCACCGTCCCAGCTCTGCCTGTCAAAAGCACCTGGGCCACGGTGGCCAGAAACGGACTGCAACAAAAAGCAGGCCCAACTGTGAAGGCTGTACCGCGACCTGCGGCCAAAGCCCAACAAAAAGAAAACCCCAAGGCGAAAGTCGATAAGCGACTGTTCCTTCGCCTTGAAAAGGACCACCCGTGGCGAAAACTGTCCACAAGCAGCGTGAGATCTAAGTTGGAGTATACATTCGGCTACTCTAACCAAGAAATAACCTCACTCCACCGAGTGAGAACGGGCTTTGCTATGCTAGCAAAGAACGAAAAAACACGACAAGAGACTTTAGATGGCTCTTCGAAGCTGGCGAGTCATAACGTCAAACTCGAGGCATCTTCGTATCTTGTCGCCTTACAGATACCGAACGTACCTGTAAGTATAGTTACAGTGTGCGGTACGAGGGCGGTCGATGCTAGCTGGGTCTCTGCCAAGATTCTCGGTACGACCGGCGCGATTCCAATTCAGGTCCGACCTCATGGGACATGTCGACCTGGGGCACCGTATCAGAACTGGCATGCCCTTTTCACGCGGGACAACGCCCCTCGTGCGGGCTTCCGCATCTTCGACGAGTCTGGTATGGCAACCATTCACAAGCCTCGTCGCCAAATTGAACATTGTAAACGCTGTTTGGGCTTCCACGCCACTCGTGGTTGCTCCCGCGCTTCAGCCTGCTGGAACTGCGGCTACAACATGCACTCGGAAGCCGATTGCAAGGCCCTCACTAAGTGTCGCAACTGTGAGGGACCCCACCGATCGGATTCTCGGGACTGCAAAGTCAGACCCAGAAAGTCTGGGCCGGTGACAAAAGAGCAGCTCGCATGGATACGCCACCTCGAGCAAGGGAAGTTCGCGGAGGCGGCTCGAGCTAGGGCTGCAGCCAAAAAGGCCGAAGAGGCGATCGCCACCGCGGCGAAGGATGTCGCAATGGCTGAGGCAACAGGTTTCGGAGTGCTGGGATCTGAAGAAGAAGTTTGAGGACACAGCAACCTCGACGATGTCCCCTTCTGGGGCATCCACTAACAATTAGCAGGATACCGGCTGGATCAAAGGTGCCTGCTAACTCATCTTTCGCTCTCAGCATAGAAGGAGTAAATTTGTCATTTGGAAGGTGTAACAGACGAGAGAATGTGTGAGGAGCACATTGACTGGGTCCAACATGGAGGAATCTTCTGGTTTTTTTTTCGGAGTTGTTTTGATTTTCTTGATTTTTCGTTTCTGTTTAATCAGCTGCACTTTTGGTAGCGATTCACGAGGTTGGAACGAGTTAGGCTGTAGGAAAGATTACAGGGAACCCTGCCGGCTCCGCCTGTCCTTGACCCAATGTGGAAAACATAGCTTTAGCTTAGGACAAAATAAACAAAACATATGCCATTAAGCCGGCAGGCGTTACTCGACGATTGGTGGAACGAAGCTTGCCTGCCCCGATATCGCAAGCTCGACCTGCTCATGCGACGAAGGAAACCACCTGAGCTGGGACTTTCGAGGTTCCTATTCCGAAATCTGATTGCAGCTCGTACGGGCCATGGCAATTTCGCGGCGTATCATCGCCGTTTCAACAATCTGGATGCTCTAATGGAGTGCGCCTGTGGGGAAGAGACCACTCCTACCCATTTTATTCACTGTCGACTACACGCTCACGTCACGCGTCGACTCAGAGGGAGATCGTCACATAGTGGCCTTATCCAAAAACTTCTCGGGCCAAAGTGTCACGAATTTTTCAAAATCTTTGAGAAGGAAACCTGCTGTTTTGGATTGCCATCTACAAATTCGTCCTCTGATCTCATCGGGGACAATATAAATTAGTCATGCAGATGATATGACAGGAAGGAAGACAAGTCGAGGAGATCTGTTTCCGAACCAGAGATTGGTAAATCTACAGAGCTGGATAGTTTTGTAGTTGAGAGTTTGGTTTTTAAAGGTTGAATTTTTGTACCAGTGCGAATTTTATACTAGCTACTATTTGTGTAGTGGTTCAAGCGGTGGGATCAAGTTTGGCTTATCAGGGATATGATCTTGGCTGTGAACATCGGTCTTTGACCTTAGGGGATAACGGGTATAGCCTAGGACCTAAATTAATAAATAAATATGCCATTAAGCCCCATACATGCTTGCCCTAGCGGACTCGGAACCTTCAGGCAGAAATATTCAGACCTCAATCCAACAACTACTATCTAGACCGTGACAACCTCGATCTTCAGTACTCGACCTGTGCTTTCCCTAACGAAGGCGATAACCTCCTGTCTCCTCAGGCGACGGCCATTCACTTTTCTCTAGAGATTGCAACTCAAAGGCGATGGCCTTGTCTTGGGTTCAAGAAGGTGACAGCCTCCTGGTTGGATTAATTTGGCGCAAGTAGAGCATATGCCCTTCTACTTGCCCATAACGAAGATAGTATCAAACTCCGGGCGATACAACGTGATTTCGCGAGCGACAATCCGGGCTCATGACCTATTAATCTTTAGTGCAGCAGATCGATTGTTGTGTAGTAACTTTATTTCTAAAAGATGGTCTCTAATTATTACAAAATCTAATGTCTCGCGATGCTCGCGTAGTATACTAATCTTTACCTTCACGTGATGCTTACGACTTGGTCTGATACAACCTATTTCAACAATAATAATAGCACGACGTTAAATAATTATAAAAAAAAATAAAAAAACCAATAATAACAATAGATCCTTCCTCTCGGAGAATCTGCCGAAGTGCACGATGCAGAAATAGCCGGGGCCACTGAAGGCCTAAGTGCCGTCCTCCATAATCCGATGGCTCGATACGCCACAAATATTACGGTTTGCCTAGATAATCAGGAATCCGCCCTTCGTCTCCTTGCAGATACTCCTTCCCCTAGTAGCTCCTCTCGTATCGCTTACTTTCGATACCCTGCTACTAAATGGACAGAGAGAGATCGTAGCCACTTTTCTGAACCGGGTGTAGTCAAAGTGCCATGGTGTCCAGGAAATGTCGGCATACCGGGCAATGAAACTGCTGACGCACTTGCTAAACAAGCATGCGCAACCCCTTCGCTCCCCCTATCTCCAACAATCTCACGAGCAAAGAGAGACACAATATCTCGATACAAAGCCTCTGTATCCCTGTACTGGTCTCAAAACGCTCCTGAACCATACCGAAAACTGGGAATTAACGCCAATATTGGGAGCTCCCCCGAACTCAAGAGCCTTAACCGCTACGCTCTTGGTCGCCTTCTTGCAGCTCGCTCAGGTCATGGAGACCTTGCTGACTACCACCGCCGCTTTCAGCACTCGGACGCTCTTCTAATCTACGCTTGCGGGCTAGAAAAGTCGCCCGAGCACTTCTTCTTTTGTCGACTCAATCGGAGTCGGTCCCGCCTTTGCAGCGGAAATAAACACCCAACGACGGGAATTCGCTGGATCCTAGGCTCACCTCAAGGAGCCATAGCTTTTAGTAAGTGGCTACGTGAAACGAGCTTTTTTGAAGCATGCAACAACAAGACTAACTAGTACCCCAAATTATATGCACTTGGCCTGTATTTGCTAGAGCTAAATTTAGAAGACTTCTGGTCTAGGTGATGGATAACTTTCCTTTTCATATATATAACTATCTTCTCTTCTGTATTAGAATGCAAAAGTCTCAGCTCCAGAGTACTTTTGACTTCTTTCGATAGTTCGGGGTGCATGGCAGGTAGGCCTTGGCCCATTTATAACATGTCAGGCTTATTTAAAGGTATCGGCACGTCTGGTAGTTTATGTAGACTGAGCTGGCCAACACGAGACCTTAAGGTTGTGTTGTGAGCTAGCACTACGTTAAATAATTATAAAAAAAAACAACAATAATGATAATAATAATACTGCGAACAGTACTACTTGTGCGCCAGCCACTAAATCTACCACAATACATAGCTGAGCATAACATGAGTTCAGAAATACGTTAAGGTTCAGAGCTGTGGGAGGTTGCAAGTACTCTATTCTTTTTTATCTACGACGCGTAAGTATAGGATAACTGCCCCTCATTATCTATTGGCAATATTAAGCACAACAATATCCAAATTTACTGTTAACTTTAAATCTATTTAGATAGTTTTAGCTGTCCTTCATAGTCATAGACTCAGCAGGGACATGAATTTTACTCTATTCTGCAGGACCACCGCGCTACCAATTCTAAGTACATAGCTACATTACCTAGCTAGCCCCATCTCTATCTTGTCTTGTTCATTTACGTGCTAGGTAAAGTGATTCCCGTTGCACTCCTACTGGAGCTTAAGCACGGGCGGGGCCGGGCTGGATAAGGTTAACTACCATCAAGTACATCTACCTCGTCCCACCTAAATGACCGGACCACCTCAGACTTCACCCATGTGTTGAATCATGACAAGCACAACCGTCCAGAGAACCCCCTTTTGACGCGCCGAAGCGCAAATTCCTCCTCAGCCTCGGCCACCACGCGCCCGAGCCCTTGACACCTCCGCGATCTGTAACTATTCCCTTCGCTTCATTCCCAGCTTAGGCTCATCTCAGCATCTCCTCATCTCGTCCAGCCGTCGTTTTCTTCACTGGATAACCCCATCTCTAGTTCCTTTGACGGTTAATTGCCGTATCGATCTGGCTTAGTTCCTCTTGATCAGGTGACTTTGTTGTAAAAGAATGATTGGCTATTTGTTTGTGACGGCCACAAGCCTAGCACTTACAGAGCATTGAGGATCCTGAATTCCAAGTCTCACGGCAAGCGAGCCGCCGACTTTCAAGGTCCCATCAAGAAAGCACGCCTCGCATTCTTTGGTCACAACCCGGGCGGCTAAGCACCCTACTGTATACTGATAGTATACTTTGCTACGTATTACTGATCGTTACATTATCTGGAGTATAGAAGATTTCATGTATTTAAGGAGGAGTTAGAATGTTAATAGAAATACAAGTTTACACCTAGTCTCAAGCTCTACACATATAGAGATTTTCGTAGACGGAGCCATGAGACATCCGTGAATTTCACAGTCAACATTTATCATTTTATTCTCACCAACGTGCACAAGAAACCTCAATGCTTGGTGGGTGCAGATAATATATGAATCATCGCTTTGGCTGGATGGTGCGGTAGTTTATCGTTCGGGCCGCTGTATTCCAGCGTTGTGCGCCGGCGCGACGCAAGATAATTAAAGAACGCCCCGTTCGGATCGTAGCAACCTCAGTCTCACGCTTGAATCCAGTATTTCTCCAAGCTTTCCCATGAGACCAACAGAGTTGGGTAGGCATGTCTGACTACGGATGGGAGGAACATTTTTCCAGCGACCCAGCCTTCTAAGCTTCAAATATTTAGTGGAATGAAGCGAGCGATCGATCAAACGCCTACTGCTGTAAGTACTGGAAAATCTTGAGGAAATGATGACCGCTCAATCAAAATTTTGTAGAGCGCATCCATTCAAGTATTTATTTATTTATAATATTTAAGGTCATGCCCGCGCACAGCACATGAGTTCCTCACGTACCGGTTAGCCCAGTCTAAATTAAACTACCCGACGTGTTGGCGCCCTCACAGACCCACCAAAGCAAACAATAGCTAGGATTTTATCACATTCATTCAAGTAACTGCTGCGCTGGAACTAAATATATGATTTCATGTCGCGTGTGTATCAATAACGTGGACTACTCGAAAGCTCCAACTATCTTAACTTTCAACAGAGAGGTTGTCTTGATAATAAAGATCATTTGCGGTATAAGCCGCAAAATTTTAGCCACTAGCTTTCTGTGTCAGGACCATTACAGTAAGAACTAGGGTCACAGAGCTCTCCCGCGTCACTTATCTATTTGAAATCCTGTCTATTTTTATCTTGCAGTTGGCTTCCATTAGTCCGTCATATTGACCAATCTTTTTTGTTCTCTTGCTACCAATGAGAGATGGAGGGTGGTTTCTGACGAAATTAGATTAGATTTGTACTATAGCCCTAACTGAGTCAATGACTACAGAGGACTCTTAGAATCTATAAGAAACTAGCTACATTTTTGTAGTTCCAATTGTTTAACTTGAAACTTGGCTCTCATGGACAGCGAGAGACAAGCTCTAGTTCTGACCAAAAATTGGCGCCATGAAATACAATTGATCTTGATTTGCTTCCAGAAAATCGATAGGTGGACGTACCACACAATTATGACTTTTAATCTTCTCAGATTTGATACCTGCGACTTCACTTGGGTGATGGTAAAATATATATATATATATAAAAGTCCTTCCTCAGAAGGTGAAGTTATATTACCCTAACTCGGTATATAGAAATCTAATACAAAAATTGCATACACGTTCCAAGTATAGAGTGTTCCTAGGGTTGGATGGTGCAGTGGTACGCCATCCGGGCCGTTCTCCCAAGTAGATACTGGGTAGCTTGAACACCTACCCCATTCGTGACAGGAGAAAGCTGGTTCGAATCCAGTCGGACCCACACACCACTCTCTCTCGCGGTGATATTGTACTTGCGGGATGATGAAAGCACACTTGGATAGCCACAGGTTTTTCTCGCTTTTCCCTGTGGTGGGTATGCACGGAAGAGGTTATACGCCGTAAGGGTTAATCTCGAGTGGTATCTGCAAATGAAATCTGAGTGTGAGTGTTCTAAACGTCAAATTGAGTCATCCTACGTAAAGTACATATCTTCCGATAAAAACCTGCATGGGCCTCAAGGCGCCAAATCAGGATAATGAATGATAATAATAATAATAATAGAGTGTTCCTCCCATAAATCAACCCATTTAGCGTCGCTCGCTTATTAGGGCTAACTTAGGATATGCAAGGATTAAGGTTTGCACAATTATTATTTCCCTTGCACTTTTACAATATATATATATATATATATATATATATATATATACATGTAAACTTGATTCTCTATTCTATTCAACGAAAGCTAGTAATACATATTGAGTCTTAGTAATCAAATCCATGCTGTTTACCTGATCAGATACGCCAGTACTCCGAACACTATCAATTATGAATATGCACAACAATAAATTGATTAATTACAACGACAATACTTTTACGATTATTTCACTGGCGCCACTGAACAGGTCATGAGATAGGCTACAGGACCTTAAAGTCTTTTTCTCTATGTATGTCAAGGATTACTTTGCTAGATAGTCATAGACTCAAGAAGTACAAAAAAACACCTCTCTCAAGGATTACTATCACTCTCGGAGATCTCACCATCCCATATAACCTCTATTAGAGCCATGCGGGAACCAGGAGCAGTATACGCCCCGATAAATCGAAATCTAGCGTCAGCCGCCTTGAAAAGCTCTCGGAAGTCTGATTCAGACCGTTCCTGCGAATTGAGCAAGGTCAACATAACAAGATCCATCGTGCGTTGATTCTTGACTTCGCTTAGATGAGTGTTCCGGGGGAGGAGAGGTTGTTGATTTGATTCGGGGAGACAGTACTCATTTATGAGGATTCTAGCACCCGGCTTTAGAGCAGGAATTAGATTGCGCAAAATGTGCACGGCGAAGCGATCAGAATAATTGTGCAGAATCCAGCGAAAAAAGTAAACGTTAGCCCCTTTGATGGGTTGCGGCGTGTGAAAATCGTGCACCTGAAATCGTATACGAGGCGTGAGGGCAGCACTTAGAGCCGGAGCTGATGCGATGGTTGTTGCTGTGTCTTGGACGATGAACTTTAAACAAGGATATGCCGAGGCAAGTGCGATACTAGCAAAGCCGTGCGAGCCGCCAATATCTACAACAGTACCTCGGCGACGATCAAGATCGGCCCAGCCGTAGGATAAAAGGAGATGCGTGAGCTCGTGTCCGGGACCATCTGTTAAAGATTTCATTGCTCTACCCATGCGAGCACTTCTGAAAGGTGACTTGGCAAAAGTGTCGAACATAGATTCAGCATCACTCGTGGCATTTGAGAGACAAAACCCGGTTTGTTTTGGATCGTCCGCCTCAGGGTTACGCTGAAGTGCGGCTACTGTGCAAGCAGCTGCCTGGGACTCGTCAGTATTGGGTTGGATCCACCGATATGAAGAGAATCTAGGCTAAATGAGTGTAGAAATGCAACAGTAGGGATAGCAGAAAGATGAGGATTAACCTGCCACATTTCTTCAACACAAAACCCAACCCATTCATTCATCGTTGGGTTTTCTGCTAAGAGCTTGCTTGCGGCCGTATGGGCTACTACGGTTGGCTTGACTTCGGTGAAGATACGATTGGTCATGGCATGACGCAATAAGCGACGGACATTCAGTTCACCGAGGCCGACCTTTGCAGCGATTTGGGAAAAGGTTCTTGTTTCGTTTGCAGGAAATGATTGTGCTGTGGGCGTATGAGCTACGATGATAAAAGAATCGTACCAATCTTGTAATGATATATTGCGTGCAATGAAAGAGAATTATTGTGCTATAAGGCCTGGTAAGCTAATAACCATTATCCTACCACATGACGAATAACTCACATCCCAAGCCATGCATCGCATACGTTCCGCCGGACCTTTGACAAGAGATCCTAAATCTTCAGTGGCCTGAATGATCTTGGCTCTTGAATTTTCTACCTCAACGCTCTGGATTGGAAAGTTCTGTGGTGATTCGACATCAAAGCCGGGCATGGGTGCACCCATCTTACCTAGCTGTCGGTCCAAGGACTTTGTCTCGGTCACAATAACATGAGCTAACTCTAGCAGGTAAGATTGATCTCTCTGCTGTTTTTGTTTTTTATGTAGCTGCTGATATGGTTGAACAACTTTAGCAGAAGAGACTTTTGTATCATCACATGTGTCTAGTTTAGAGCCTTTATCTAGTAGAATCTTTGCTCTGTAGGATACAAACCTTTGCTTGCAGACGTTTGAAATGACGAGATGCCAGAACTGAAGAGGCTTCTTCATGAGATAATTCATGGTTAGAACAAATCAGATAATTTGCGATACGGCAGAGAGATCGGATGCAAAATTAAGCACGTAAACTCTTTCTCTTCAGACACTTACTAACATGCCGGGCTTTACAATCTTGCTCCGCTTTAAAGTTCCATGGGCAGGTTAATGACATCCCATATGCTAGTCTAAATTTAACCTAGTACAGCGCGAACTCAGAACTCTGATAAAACATAGCCCATAATTTGAGAATTATTCAAAAATTGAGGATAGGAGTGCGAGATAAACCTAGCCTATGGTAAGGAGAGAGTAGTAGAAAGTATATTTGACAGTTACGGTTCTAACATTGCTGGTTAAGATATTTTTATCCGTCTGTACACTTTGGACAAACATTAATCCGCGGTAGAGTTATAAGGTTAGACGGGTCGTGGGCTATTATCAGGAGTATCCATGATCCGAGCTTGAGTCAGGATGAGGGAAATGATGAACATCTTTTTCAATGTTCTCCCAAAGCGCTTAAGCCTGCATCTCTTATTTGTATGCCGCTGTATGGCGAAAATTTGGACAACTTGAGACAGCTATCGGTTGCGCGCACACGTCCAACCTCTCTCATTTGGCCTCAGTGGCGTATAAAAGGAACTGAGTAGTTCAAGATTTCAGAATGAGCTGGACTAGGCTTAGACACTAATTATCCAGCTTGCATAGGATACAGCTAGGGTGAGACTTGGATTTTAACGATCCGGGGTGTGATATTCCAAATATCGCGGGTATGTAACACAATGAGCTTGTTACCTTCACTCCAACCAATGCCGCGAGTTCTAGCTTTTTCATGAGCGTGTATTCACCAAAAACTAAGTGATCCTGCAACATAATGCTATCTTAAACGATGACTAGTTAGGTAAACAATAAGTTCGACCCTACTGCAGCATGATACTAGCGTGGCCTATCCATGAATAAATAAGAGAATTTTAGCGGGTACGTTTTTGTGCTCTGCATACTGCAATAAACTATATTTAGACTGGGCATTGTTGATCTTCAAGCTCTAGCGCACTGGATAGCCTATTTTGCCAAGTCTAGGTGTAAGATATCTCCGGATGGAATCTTGGCGGAACTATTTTGGTGGGTCGTTGGCCGTTGTTCGATATCTATTCGAGACAAGATTTGTGCGTTGAGCCCCTGTCAGGTTTAAAGGCTGATTTTAGTTTCCTACTTAGCGAATAGTATGAAGTCTTTTAATCCGCAATAAGCTATCTCTCCACAATGCATGATTAAAGTTTTCTATGCACCTCAGTCATCCCTTCCGACTTTAACGGCGCCTGCATTCGGGATTTCATTCGCAAGTATTACAGAAGTATGACTCTTTCTAAAGAATAGTTGATCCCTCCGTAGATATCTAACATAGAGAAATCTCAAAACCTTTCATCGTCCAAGCATGTCTTCGCCACTCATGCACACGAGCACCGCATTTAAAGTAGCCAAGAAGTGATGGATTCGAACTAGTGGGATGGGTGAAGAGCTATCTAGACTCTACTCGAGAGACTAGCCGGGATAATGTACCATTCTATCATTTAGGAAGGATTGTTTAGAGTATCGCTCGTGTTTCCGCAAACGAATCCGAGGCATACTGACTCTTTAATTTGGAAAAACTTCAAAACATCGAAATTCACATCTTTGGAGGACGTCTTCATCCTCAACGTAATCTTTCCAATCTAGCCTGATATAACTCACATTCTTCTAGAAGATTAATCTTTCAATTTTTCCGCGCCATTCACGTCATCCTGTAGTTATTTACGTTGTATTCGGCGTATATTCGGAGGCCAGAGATTGAGTTGAAGAATTTGTCCGTGGAAATGAGTATGCAATAGATCGTAACTACAGACTGTGTGAGGTTGTTGGTGGAGTCGATATTGTTAGGTGTGATAAATGTAGTTAGAAGACCTGAATCAATTCTTATTGTGCCAAAATCTTCTGCAATGCAAGATGTAAATAAACTTAGTTCAGGCAGAATATTTTACCCTCATCTTCGTGGATGACACTTCTCACTGTTCATTCCTTGCCCTCCATACCAGCGGCCTGTCAATTAACCTGGAACGGGCATAGTACCATCGGCCTTCCTGACTCAAAAACGAGCAATTGTAGCTACCTACAGTTTGGCAGCAGCACGATCAAATTTTAGATCTCAATAGATGTGCGGTACATAATAAATTGTAGGTCAGGCCAGGCGCACACAGACTAATGCGCCTTCACCCAATCCTCTAGACTGCCAAGCCACCGTTAGGTAAGCTAGTCATGAATATTTAGGACTATTATCCCGGTGGCTTCTGTCCGCAGACAATATATAGTGGTATGTGACTGTGTACCGAACTATCAAGGTATGCTTTCTTGACATCTACAAGCCAAGATTCGACATCCTCTTTACTCCAGTGTAGTCCACGAGTAAGTGGACCTAATGCAATCGGTTGCAGTCCATCAATCAGTATCGTCCGCCAATACAGGCCTACGAGTTTGAGTGTTCGATTTTTTGGCCATACCCCAATAGGAACATGCAAAACTTGACATGAAACATTGATAAATCCTGCTTCGCGTAACATACTTTCGAGGAGAAGGGTTGCGTTGAAGTTAATCCCTAATGTAGCGAGTGCTTCTCCAATGCGACTCCAATACTGAATAGCTGCGTAGTTGGGGGGCATACTTGCATCGCTACATTGTGGATAATGGTGCATTTCCTGAAGCTCTATCCAGCCCCCAGGTTTGAGATGACTGTGGTCGTTAGATTGTGAGGCAGTTCTTTGTTTTAAGTAGTACTTACTCATAAGCTTGTCGCATTAACAGAGGCCAGTTTTTTATAGCCATAACGGTGTGGCGCGTGTGTATATAGTCAAAGTAATTGAGTGGTTTAAGCCACGGGCTCTCAATGTCATCGACGACAAATGTTACGTTGGGCGGGACCCATTCGGGCTGTATTGGGCTCAAATCAACCCCCAAAACTTTTGACCCACTGTATAGATCTCCCACTACGGCCCATCAGTATTCTGCTTGGGCTGCGACTGGGAGCGACCCACTTTCTATAGCCCATATACCGGTGCCTGTCCCTATATCAAGTACATTTTGCGGATTGGTACCGATTGGCGCGAAGTGCAGCTTATGCCCACATAATTTGACCATCATTGCATGTTTCATATCTTCTCTATCTTGCTCGAGGTCGTCGTTGGGAAAATTGTAGATACCTTCTCGGAATTTGTGGTAACGCCAGCCATTTTCAAAGGTGTAATCCCGTACACTACTGGAAATAGATGTCGTTGCGGAAACTATGCTATCTGTGAAATAGCCAGCATCGGATGACGAATCATCAGCATCTGAATCAATTTCGATTCTGTCATCAGTGTGGATTGTGAAAGTATTGAGTTCTGTATCATTGACTAACTGTCCATGGACGCCGGGTGCAGGTGTGGGTGGCGCAGGCACTGGTTGGTGGTCCATTCAAGCCAATAAATGGGAGAACGAGTGGTGATGGTTGAGACGCACGGTAGTTGCTCGGTTGAAAGCTCCCAAAATCCTTGGAATCTGTCAAATTTTCTGCGGGTGCTACCATCGGCACTTAAAGACGGGGTTTCGGATATTGTAGAAGGCTGAGAATCGAGGAGAGCAGGAATTGGCGAGAGGTTGGAAGGATGAATTGGAGACTGATGAAGAGTGAGCTTAGGGGGGGAGGTTGTGAATGTTGTGTACTCGGGACAATGACGGGAGATAGACGAATTCTGAACACTTATCAGCGGTGTACCCTTCAAATCTTCAGTCGTCATCACATAGGCTGCAGAGACGAAATGCAGTCCGTTGCTGGGCAGGAGAGCATATTTTCAGCGATATTACGGCATTCCCCAGTACCCAAGACCGCATGCAAAAGTTGGGCTAGGCTAACTTGTAGCATGCACTCGCTCTCAAGATCTTTATTACATTTCAACTTTATCTTCGATATGTTGTGAGGCGCAAACGATAAAAGGTACCTAAGGGAGCCTAATAAGGCACTATTGCGCACCTTGGAACACATAAGCCTGCAGCACTCGCCCAATTGGCCTCTCAGAAATACTCTGTATCGGCAAATGATTCTCCAGATTTAATCATGATGTAGGTAAGGGAATTCCGCACCCGGTACGTTTTGAGACCTTTTCCTGCAGCTTCACATCCGCAAATGACTGTCGATTCGTTGTGTCGTAGGGGTTTTTTAAGGGTAAAGGAGTACGCGAAAGTATATAATCAAATGATGATTTATTAGGAATGGGACACTTTGATGGAAATTGTGGAAATATAGGATATCATTTACAATTTAACGCCCGGGTATCCTTAGTGTGCAGGCAGAGAAGACTCACATGTCCCATATAGTGGCAGACTGAAAAGAGTGATAGCTACAAAGATGTTCAACCAAGTTAGGACAAGATTAACAGCTCGCCATAGCACATGTAGAAATTGCTAGCTACATCGACGCATGTTCGACACTCAACCGATTTCAATGTCAAACGTCTGCATTGTTGAGATGGGAAATTTATCGTGATAAGGTCTGATCCCTACTCACTTTCACTCGACTTCCTTGAACGTGGAGAAGCCATCTGATGCGTCTTTAGAGCATACCGAACTCCCGATATGGCGGTTGTGGATTAGATCAAGTTGACCTGTTCTGTTACAAGCAAGGGACACGCAGATGGAAGTGCGTATTTCTTTTTTTTTGCATCATGTGCGCATCTTGTTGAGGATCCAAGATTGACAGACCTCCAGATTAGTACGAGGCTTTGATAAATTGTAATGCTTATGTAATGTTGTTCACATTGGAGTCCCGGCGCAAGATATGGATTACTGTACCTATATAGACGATACCCTTTATTAATAGAAAACCAAGTTACATCTAGTCTTAAGCTCTACTATATATAGTGGTAGTTTGGAGCCATGAGATACCCGTAACCTACGCCATCATAAAGCTAAGCTTATCCCAATTTTAACACATACAAATCCATCAGGAACCTCATCGTGATGCTAGGGCATAAGTTTTTGAGAAATTTTCCCGCGCACGTGTGGTCCCTAATGGTCAAGAATAGGTGAGACGTGAGATGACCTCATCTTCGTGTTGGAGTGGGATACGGGTGTATCGAGGATCCAAACTTTTAACACGTGTAATAGAACCTAATAGAATAAGATAGAAATAAATTTAGGTCCCTTCTGATTCAGTAACTATGAAGGACTACTAAAAGCTATTAGATATTTACTTGTTTTAACACAGTCTTTAATTTCGATATTTTCCATTTGACATTGAGAGTCTTGCCCTACTTACCGGAGCTTAAGAGTGAGAGATATGAACGTTTATTGTATTACTTGAGTCAAAGACTATCTAGCACATTGAGCTACTCTCCAGTTCAGGCCTCATCTTGTACAGTGCTTCTATAATTTTTTTTAATTTATATGATCTCTAATTTATCACCCATTATGGATAGCCAGTCAGCTCAGCATCTACCCGTCGAGTTCAGCCACTTTGTCTACGGAGCCCTCCAGCCGGCAAAGACGAATTCTTTACGTTCCAGTAGTGCCGGTGTTATCACCCAGTATGCTCTGCATATCTGGGATAGCCGAGAAGAATCGCATCCAAATCGAAGTCGAAAGCAATCTCAAGCATATCTCCATTTGACGACTTCTCGACAATGCCTCTCTTACAATACTCATCTGAGTCCCCAACCTCTCTCTAACCACGCATCATCTCGCCTCGACGACTAACAAAGAAATTGCTCCAATTGCTAACACGAGCTTGCCCCATTAATTTTCAGCTATCTCTCACTACATATTTACGACTCTATTTATAGCCGCAAGGAGGAAATCAAGTCGAAGAATACAAAGCCAGAGTCTTGGCTTATGGAGGACTGTTACTCTAATGGGACAAACAACTTGAGGGAGAACAGGCGACTGAGATGTGGAGCGAGAGGGGAACAGGTCTCTGAAGAGCACACTGGGACTGAAATTTTCGAGGGGTTTTCAACTATGGATTTTTGTGGGCACCAAGACCAAGATTTCAGCTAATAAGCCAGGAGGGCTTCTATTGTCGATGAGTCAACGGCACTCCCCAGCGCTCTGGACGGCACAAAAGAAGTTAGGCTAAGCTATCATACAGCAATCACGCTCTGTCAAGACTTTTCTGAAATTTCAGCGCAACCCTCGGGAAGGAGTTGGAAGGATACTAGAAAGGGAGAGTGTAAATTTCCCGAGATACCCACAAGTCTACAGCGCCCAGCTAGCCGGCCTCTTCGAACGCTTCTGAAGGATCACTATTTCTTCGGATTTAGTCCTAATGTCGTTATCAGAAGAGCCCCGCACCCAGTGGCTTTGCGATTTTTGCCAGCTACCATACACCCGCAAATGGCCATCGTTTCGTTGGCTGGGAAGGGGAGATGTTGAAGGGCAAAGGGCTCCTCTAAGTGTATGATCGAACGAGGACTTGTGAGGGGTGATACTGTTTGAGGGGAGCTGTATGGGAGGCATAGGAGGGGATATACTACTGGTATAGGTATCCTTGGCCTGTAGGTAGAGAGGACCTGCATGTCCTACATAGTCATAGACTGATATAGGACAATAAAATGAATGAATTAATTCACTCCCAAAGGGTCCAACTCATACCTAGGCCTCATCAAGTCTACAAGTACGACCTAGTGCGTCCTCATCCCAATGACCACACCACTCTTCGACCTTCTCTGGCCTCAGCCGGTCGCCAAATACACGCCCACGCCGATATTTATACCCGACGGAGGAAGCAAAGCGTGGCGCACAAGTCTGGGAGACAGTTCTTTGGGATGGACGTGAAAGGGATCAGGATAAGTTGAAAAGATGATGCAAAGGAAGGATGTAACTTCGAAGGGCGTGGAATTTCGAATTTTGGCAGGGAGATTCACAAATTAAGCTTTGTGCGCGCCAAAACTTCGCTTGCGAGAGTGCAGTTGACACTAAAAACATAAGCCAACGATGGAAGGTGTTGTGGTCCGCCTCCTGGTGGTGTTCTCTGGTATAGTCTCAGCAGCCTGGGCACCTCCTTCACTTGAGAGGGAGACATCTCAGATCACGTTTCGCGCGGAAAAATGTGAACGAATGATGGAGGTATGTCTGGATAACCCAGGGCTTTTGAGACGTTTCCCTGGGTGGGTATTGACGGATGAGGGTTGACTTGGGGTGAAGAAATAGCCACCATAACTTCGCAGTGGTACTTGCGAATGAAATCCGAGGCATGAGTTCTCTTCTTGTAAATTGAGTCATCTATTACACACTTATCTGATACTGTATTATAGCTAGATAGCTGCATAAGCAATTAAAATCTGATGCAAAAAAAAAGTAGTTGACCTAAATAACATAACAAATTACATGCCTCATCATTAATCGTTGGCGTCAAGCGACAAGTAACTTAAATCTACTTAGAGCGCCTTTAAAGCCTGGGAGTTATATATTCTTTCACAGTCGTATCTGTTGTAATGGAAGTTGTGTAGGGAAGGGTAAGCTGTTAAGCCTGTATTTAATACCACCTTGTGAAGCAAGATGGGATATTGAAGAGTCTGAAAACTATAGTGAAGAGTTGTTGATTAAACCCACTTAGTATCAGAGCGCTATTTAAACTAATTACAACAACTAAGTGAAGGACACGATTCACTTGTTTATGCTAAATAATTGGGAGGCTGGTCAATGTATGAGTCGTCATGAATGTGGCTAGTAATAATAGAACCATATTACGTTCCGTGTTAATGCGACTCTTCATTGCCAAGAAGCGCCAATTTCAACAGTATCTGGTCAAATTCTGCGCTAACCATAACTCCATTATCAATTCCTCTTTTTTTTTTTTTGCGTCAGATTTTAATTGCTTATGCAGCTATCTAGCTATAACACAGTATCAGATAAGTGTGTAATAGATGACTCAATTTACAAGAAGAGAACTCATGCCTCGGATTTCATTCGCAAGTACCACTGCGAAGTTATGGTGGCTATTTCTTCACCCCAAGTCAACCCTCATCCGTCAATACCCACCCAGGGAAACGTCTCAAAAGCCCTGGGTTATCCAGACATACCTCCATCATTCGTTCACATTTTTCCGCGCGAAACGTGATCTGAGATGTCTCCCTCTCAAGTGAAGGAGGTGCCCAGGCTGCTGAGACTATACCAGAGAACACCACCAGGAGGCGGACCACAACACCTTCCATCGTTGGCTTATGTTTTTAGTGTCAACTGCACTCTCGCAAGCGAAGTTTTGGCGCGCACAAAGCTTAATTTGTGAATCTCCCTGCCAAAATTCGAAATTCCACGCCCTTCGAAGTTACATCCTTCCTTTGCATCATCTTTTCAACTTATCCTGATCCCTTTCACGTCCATCCCAAAGAACTGTCTCCCAGACTTGTGCGCCACGCTTTGCTTCCTCCGTCGGGTATAAATATCGGCGTGGGCGTGTATTTGGCGACCGGCTGAGGCCA